AATCAAAACAGGATTTCCATGTTTTATTGCGATTTTATGAACGTATTCAACAGTGTGAAACAATCCGTTAATAATTCGCTAGGGAATGTCTTGTTGAGATGGTTCGAGACATGCCCAGTTGGACAATGTACTGATTTGCTACTGATGAATAAATTATTTGATATAAAATGCACTAACCCAATCACTGTTACTTTATTTTGTACGTGTACCCGATAACGATTAAATTATCTTCGTTTACGTTATTAAGTTGGTCAATGTGATATTTATTTAATTTTTTAATTTTCGCACAATGTAGGTTGTGTTTTCGTGTACAGATGCACATTCAGCAAACGAATTAGTTTCACGTAGAACAAACAAAAGTCGAACCTCAAATAAATGGCCTAATATTATTATAAAGACATTGTATTGTTAGGGAAAATATTTTTATTTCATTCAGTGAAACAATCAACCAAAACAGTGAGAAATTGTTTTACCGATTTATTGTATATGATTGTATTGAAAGCAAATAAGATACAATGAGATTCATGGTACAAAGTGAAAACCTTTTCCACATTGTGATTACTGTGTTGAAAGGAACACATATTGAGTATTAGCTTGAAATAAACCCTATCAAATAAAAAATAAGGCAAGAAATGTAATTTTCTATGCCACTTCTTTTTCACCTTTGAAGAAGGGAATATGTAAACGGTCCTCGCGTTGTAGTAGGCAGGCAAATACTATTACAAGGCATAGTAAAAAACAACTTGTGACAAGGAGGACGATTCCTGCAACAGTACCTCCACTAAGACCTTCAAGATAAAACAGAATTTCGATATTAGTATGGGTATACAGATTTGTAGGAAAGGACAGGTGAATATTATGATTGAAGGGAATTAACCGGCGAGATGTTATCGGAAATACTTCCAATTCGCTAATAATTGCCAATTTATTGTATGTGTGTGTATTGCACTTCGTCTCCCACCGAACGAGGTTATTATAACTTTCTAGATGCAGAATAGTCCGCAGAACACACACAAACAAGGTGGTATTTTACAATAGGCAGCGAAGAAGTGAGTCCAACATACTAATGAATACGGCCTATTTAGTAACCAATTGGACTATACATTGGTATTAGACAAACTATACTCACTAGAATCCGTTGGTTCTGGACCTATAGAAAACAGACAGGAGAATTATATATAATTAAAAAGTTGTAAAAACACCGACAAAAAAATCTTACATACCAAGAGATTACAGATAGTATTAAACATTGTTTGGACAAATATTTGAAGGTTAAAAAGTATACATCACTGTTTATTAAACTTACCGATATCTTTCTGACACATATATCCCTTTGTCCATTCTAAATCATCACACTTTTTATCATTCCAAAATCCTTCTTTCGTCATTTCAGCGCAATCAGCATAATTTTCCTCTTGTTCGTTGGGTTCATCAACTCCCCAATATCTACATGGGAGTACGCAGCATTGGTCAGTAACGAGAAAACACAAATCGCATTGCGTAGAATTCGCCAGTGTATAAGCATTTCTTTTTTTCTCACAATCAAAAACGCAGATAAACCCGAGTTGTAGCGGAAATATGAAATCACCGCGTGAACGGAACAATGATATTCTCGTCAAATGAAAGGTCTTTCGATGTTCAAGTTAAATAAACAAAATTATATATTTTAGAAATAAAACTAGTATATAGTCAATAAGCACCGAGCTGTAAATAAATAATGATTGATTAGTTTATGAGAACATATTTCAGGAGATAGCAGAGGACATATTATAGCGACGGCTCTGAGTGATTCTTTCACATAATTAGGACCTCCAGCTTCTTATACATGTGTACTATATTTTGCGTTTTATTTTGTAGGTTTTCTACAGTGCGGTCAAAATAGTACAACTAAATATGAAATTTAATAATTACCATAGCCAGCACTTTAAACGTATTTGTACAATGAAACATTAGTCTACAGTAACTGTAACATTCTATATACGCATATGCAAATTGTCGGTTTCTGAACTCGAATGACCCCGGAAGTTGTTATTGCATAGCCATCGCAAAGTGGTGTTTTAGATCCTGTTAGGTTACTGTCTTATGCTCAATTCAATCAATCATTTAACATTTTCGTAGCTAATGTAAACAGTGAGAAAAAAAAAAAGAACCAGGTATTCCAGAAATTCAAAATCATGCTTGTTTTTCTTGCTTGTGAGTCCAGTGATTCATCTTCAGCAGCGACAATATTGTATATATTTTCAAATCCCCCAAGATGCAATGTGTTTTGTCATACCATAATACTTTTATCAAGATGCAATATTATTATCAATTAAATGATTGAATGAAACAGGGAATGTGGTATTATATTGGTAGTATATAAGATGAAACACATACGACAATACAAATCACAATAGCCTGCTCAACTGTTAAACAAAGAGTATCCATGTGCGTTATGTTGTACTAATGGTAGCGAGAATTCGCTTGCTGTTAAGTGGGGAGTCGTCACCTGCGCTGCGTCAGATGGCCATAGCGTGTAATTGTTTATAAACAAACGTCTACCCATGAGCCTTTGCGTTTTTAGCATGTGTTGTTATCGTCGCTTGGAACTCAATTCCCGCGCGTGTGCAGATGACGACCCCTCCGATTTAATAATACCGGTCGTCGTCGCGTAATGCTTGTTTCATGCAAACAAATACTAAGTATTGAGTTTTACATAGCGAGTTGTAAACGTCGATATACCGTCCTACAACATACTTCCAAATGTATCTTCATAACAGATATAGTCCGTGCTATGGCAAACAACAAATGTCTAATATATATTGAAGTGAATTTGGACTTACGTAAAACCGGCCTTTGACAGCGGAGAACCGTCAATCCAATAAAACTTTCCCTCCTCGTCCAAATCGTGCAACCCAATCCAGCACTTCTCTTTTGTAAATTGATTAAGGAAGTTCTATAAAATAAACACGGTGAATTTGCATTAACTAGCGATCTCGATATAGCGAGGAAAATTATATAATTTATCGCAATTCATTGCATTTACATACATCATTAGTATTTCTTCTGGTAGTTTGTAGATATTGACAATACATTCTGGATTTATAGCATTCCCATGTGTTATGTAGATTTATTCTAACCCATTGAGGACACTGGCGGTGCAACACAGTTTCAATGAATTTTCTTTACTGTAACATTATACTTCTTCGTCTATTTCATTTGTGAATGAAGTAGCTTTTTTCCGATAGAACAACTTCAAGTTCTAGTTTGTATTTAGGGCACTGTAATATTGTTGAAAATATACGGTAGTTACAATTCTCCGGAAAAGTGGTGAACAGCCATTGCAGACCAGTGTTCTGGTAAAGTGTGAGGAACTAGTCAAGATATAGACAATTGCTTACTTGAACGTCTATGTTATCAACAATGGCTAGTGTACCGCCTTTAGCAACACACTCATCACTAGCTTCGTACCACGTGTTTGATTCTGGTGTTTGGTCAGTCCAAAAGCATCTTTCTTGAAACGCGAACCATCCATCGGGACATCGCTGAGATGTAACTAAAAATAATATATATACCACCGTTAGTCTGATATGTACAAATTTAAGAGAAACCGGGCAAAACGAATGATGTATTCAACGAAAGACCACTACACGTAGACGGCGTGTGTTAGCAGAAACAAATTCTTAAGGTGATTTGAGAAATACTAACACAATTCACTCAACAAGGGGATTCTCTTACATGGCGCCGTGGTGACGTCATATACTACTGTGAAAACACTGTAGCCTTACCCATCTATACCTTTACTCACCTATAAGAAAATGTGATGACACACACAAAAGAATGCTAAGTTGATATTGTTTCATAATAAGTGATCTCTCGTAGATATCCCTTGTAACACCTTGAAATGATATTGCTCACTCCAGTAACGGGACCAAAGCGTCGTCGTAATTTACCGACTTAAGGGGGCGTATCTCAGCTGGGCGGCAAATTCATTTCTACGTAACAACGATAACTTTGTTGGTGACATATTTAACATGTAATCTGATAAATTGGCCACCTCTTGATTTATTTATTGAAAACATCGATCATTGATTAAGTCGAGTGTTAAAACCACGTGACCACCGTGACATGTACACCTAATATTACTAATAATTCACATATGACCTCGTTCGTCATTCAAATTGTCTGCTGATGTCAAACGTATTGCGCCCTCATCGTGGAGTCTTAGTTAGGAAAAGATAAACAATGACCATGCAGATTAGTTTCAGAAAATTAAAGCGGGAGGGTCGTCACCTGCGCACGCGCGGGAATTGAGTCCCAAGCGACGATAACATCACATGCTAAAAACGCCATGGGTAGACGC